GGATCATGACCCGAGTGGAAGGCAGAAGCTTAACCCACTGAGCCACCCAGGTGCCCCTGTCGTTCTCTTTTTTGATGGGATCCTTGTCTGGTTTTGGGATCAAGGTGATGCTGGCCTCATAAAATGAGTTTGGAAGTTTTCCTTCTATTTCTATTTTTTGGAACAGTTTCAGGAGAATAGGAATTAGTTCTTCTTTAAATGTTTGGTAGAATTCCCCCGGGAAGCCATCTGGCCCTGGGCTTTTGTTTGTTTGGAGATTTTTGATGACTGTTTCCATCTCCTTACTGGTTATGGGTCTGTTCAGGCTTTCTATTTCTTCCTGGTTCAGTTGTGGTAGTTTATATGTCTCTAGGAATGCATCCATTTCTTCCAGATTGTCAAATTTGTTGGCGTAGAGTTGCTCATAGTATGTTCTTATAATTGTCTGTATTTCTTTGGTGTTCGTTGTGATCTCTCCTCTTTCATTCATGATTTTATTTATTTGGGTCCTTTCTCTTTTCTTTTTGATAAGTCTGGCCAGGGGTTTATCAATCTTATTAATTCTTTCAAAGAACCAGCTCCTAGTTTCGTTGATTTGTTCTATTGTTTTTTTGGTTTCTATTTCATTGATTTCTGCTCTGATCTTTATGATTTCTCTTCTCCTGCTGGGTTTAGGGTTTCTTTCTTGTTCTTTCTCCAGCTCCTTTAGGTGTAGGGTTAGGTTGTGTACCTGAGACCTTTCTTGTTTCTTGAGAAAGGCTTGTACCGCTATATATTTTCCTCTCAGGACTGCCTTTGTTGTGTCCCACAGATTCTGAACCGTTGTGTTTTCATTATCATTTGTTTCCATGAATTTTTTTCAATTCTTTAATTTCCTGGTTGACCCATTCATTCTTTAGAAGGATGCTGTTTAGTCTCCATGTATTTGGGTTCTTTCCAAATTTCGTCTTGTGATTGAGTTCTAGCTTCAGAGCATTGTGGTCTGAAAATATGCAGGGAATGATCCCAATCTTTTGATACTGGTTGAGACCTGATTTAGAACCGAGGATGTGATCTATTCTGGAGAATGTTCCATGTGCACTAGGGAAGAATGTGTATTCTGTTGCTTTGGGATGAAATGTTCTGAATATATCTGTGATGTCCATCTGGTCCAGTGTGTCATTCAAGGCCTTTATTTCCTTGTTGATCTTTTGCTTGGATGATCTGTCCATTTCAGTGAGGGGAGTGTTAAAGTCCCCTACGATTATTGTATTATTGTCGATGTGTTTCTTTGATTTTGTTATTAATTGGTTTATATAGTTGGCTGCTCCCATGTTAGGGGCATAGATATTTAAAATTGTTAGATCTTCTTGTTGGACAGTTCCTTTGAGTATGATATAGTGTCCTTCCTCATCTCTTATTATAGTCTTTGGCTTAAAATCTAATTGATCTGATATGAGGATTGCCACCCCTGCTTTCTTCTGATGTCCATTAGCATGGTAAATTGTTTTCCACCTCTCACTTTAAATCTGGAGGTGTCTTTGGGTCTAAAATGAGTTTCTTGTAGGCAACATAAAGATGGGTTTTGTTTTTTTATCCATTCTGATACTCTGTGTCTTTTGATTGGGGCATTTAGTCCATTAACATTCAGGTTAACTATTGAGAGATATGAATTTAGTGCCATTGTATTGCCTGTAAGGTGACTGTTTCTGTATATTGTCTCTGTTCCTTTCTGATCTACTAATTTTAGGCTCTCTCTTTGCTTAGAGGACCCCTTTCAATATTTCCTGTAGAGCTGGTTTGGTGTTTGCAAATTCTTTCAGTTTTTGTTTGTCCTGGAAGCTTTTAATCTCTCCTTCTATTTTCAGTGATAGCCCAGCTGGATATAGTATTCTTGGCTGCATGTTCTTCTCGTTTAGTACTCTGAATATATCATGCCAGCTCTTTCTGGCCTGCCAGGTCTCTGTGGATAAGTCTGCTGCCAGTCTAATATTTTTACCTTTGCATGTTACAGACTTCTTTTCCCGGGCTGCTTTCAGGATTTTCTCTTTGTCACTAAGACTTGTAAATTTTACTATTAGGTGACGGGGTGTGGACCTATTCTTGTTGATTTTGAGGGGGGTTTTCTGCACCTCCTGGATTTTGATGCTTGTTCCCTTTGCCATATTGGGGAAATTCTCTCCAATATACCTTCTGCTCCCCTCTCTCTTTCTTCTTCTTCTAGAATCCCAATTTTTCTAATGTTGTTTCGTCTTATGGTGTCACTTATCTCTCAAATTCTCCCCTCGTGGTCCAGTAGCTGTTTGTCCCTCTTTTACTCAGCTTCTTTATTCTCTGTCATTTGGTCTTCTATATTGCTAATTCTTTCTTCTGCCTCATTTATCCTAGCAGTGAGAGCCTCCATTTTTGATTGCACCCCATTAATAGCTTTTTTCATTTCAACTTGGTTAGACTTTAGTTCTTTTATTTCTCCAGAAAGGGCTTTTATATCTCCCGAGAGGGTTTCTCTAATATCTTCCATGCCTTTTTCGAGTCCGGCTAGAACCTTGAGAATCGTCATTCTGAACTCTAGATCTGACATATTACCAGTGTTTGTATTGATTAGGTCCCTCGCCTTCAGTACTGCCTCTTGTTCTTTTTTTTGTGGTGAATTTTTCCGCCTTGTCATTTTGTCCAGGTAAGAGTATATGAAGGAGCAAATAAAATACTAAAAGGGTGGCAAAGATCCCAGGAAAATACGCTTTAACTAAATCAGAAGAGATCCCAAATCATGGGGGGGAGAAAGGGGATAAAAAGAGGTTCAGAAAAAAAAAAAAAAAAAACAATTAAAAAAAGAAAACGAATAAAGAAAGAATATAAAAAAGAAAAAAATATATATATATTAAACTAGTTTAAAAACGTTAAAAAAGAAAAGTGTAAAAGTTAAAAAAATTTAGCAGAAGAAGAAAAATAAATTGAAAAAGAAAAAAAATTAAATTAACTGCAACGCTAAAGAATCATGGGGAGAAATCCACGAGTTCCGTGCTTTGATTTCTCCTCCTCTGGAATTTCGCTCCTCTCCTTGGTGTTGAAACTGCGCTCTTCGGTAGGTGAACTTGGTTCTGTCTGGATTTCTTGTTGATCTTCTGGGGGAGGGGCTTGTTGTAATGATTCTCAAGTGTCTTTGCCCCAGGCAGAATTGCACCACCCTTACCAGGGGCCGGGCTGAGTAATCTGCTCAGGTTCGCTTTCGGGAGCTTTTATTCCCTGAGCGCTTTCCGTAGAGTTCCGGAGGGCGGGAATGAAGATGGCGGCTTCCCAGTCTCCGGCCCGGAGGAGCCGAGAGCCCGGGGCCCCAGTCCTCAGTGCGCCCTCAGAGAATAGCACCCAATTACTCCCGTCACCTTGGCCTCCGGCTGCGCTCCGAGCTTACCGAGCCTGTGACCGGTTCAAGGTAACCCTGAGCTGAGAGTCATTCCTCGGCTCTGTCTCTGTAGCCGGCTTCCCCGTTCTAATACCTGTAAGCTCTGCGACACTCCGACACCCCCGATCCTTTTGTAACCCTGCGGGATCTGAGGCCACACTGACCCCGCATGGGCTTCACCCCGGTTAAGCCTCTGGAGCGATGTCCCTCCGCGGAACAGACTTTTAAAAGTCCTGATTTTGTGCTCCATTGCTAGCCGCTTGCCGGGAGCCGGCCCCTCCCCCCGCGGTCTATCTTCCCAGTTGCTTTGGATTCATTTCTCCGCCAGTCCTACCTTTCAGAAAGTGGTTGATTTTCTGTTTCTAGAATTGCTGTTCTTCTTCTCTTCGATCTCCCGTTGGATTTGTAGGTGTTTGCAACCTTTAGATAAGCCATCTAGCTGATCTCCAGCTACCTGATGTAGTCTCAGCCTGCTACTTCTCCGCCATCTTGACTCCTCCCCTCCTGCTCTAGTTTTGTGTACTGCAACGAAATTGTATGACCGCCTTTAAGTATTTTGATTTTCTTCTTTAATAATGAAATCCCCTTTGTTGTTTTTGGCACTTCATTGGGACCATTTTATCTGTTAATTATTGCTGCTGAACGTTTAAACTCACCTTTTGCAGAGCTGTCTTTTTTGAAATCATATAGCTGAGTATCATCCTTGTCCCAAGAAAGTCAGAGACCTTGTAAAAGCCTGCCCAGTTGAGAAGCAGCCCTCCCTCTTCTGCCTGGTGTGCTTCTTATGGGTGAGGATGGTGGGGGGACACCTGGGTTTATTTAGCCAACTCTGCCTGAGGCCCATTCTCACTGGGCCACTCCCCAGTTCTTTCTAACATGTACTTCAGGTGTGGTAAGTCACGTTTATGGGCGATGTTCTGTCCTTTAGGACTAGGACTCCTCCTCAGTAATTGCAGTTTTTCGTATTTTACTAAAATGTGATTTCTTCTTGTGAATTAATTGAGATCAAGCATATATACTAGTCTTTAATTAAATAGGTTGCTCAAATTGATGCATGTGGAATGAATTATTTTACTTTTTCCTAAAATGTGAAGAGAGATTGGAAAGAAATTTTAGTAGACAGTAATGCATAGAGATTTTCTCGAACACCTTAATGAGAAGCCAGAAATGCATATAAAACATGAAAACTTCAAAAACATTTTTAGACACAGCCTATTATTAAACACCCGAGGATGTTTTTGATTTCCCATTACATTAAAATACCCAAATGAACTTCAGAACATTTAAAAATAGCTCAATGTTAAAAAGAAGATATAAAGTATTATCAGCTGTGTGCTTTCTGCGCATAATTAGCATGTGTCTGTGAAGGTATAATGACTTCTAGTGGAATATTACTCATGATAAAAGTTCAGATGGTGAAAATTGGAGCTACAGCTGGGTGACATGTTTTAAAATAATTCAAAGATGACTCCATCGAAGGCATTCTATTTTAGTCCCTTATATTCCCCCTTTCACTCATCAGTGGAATATGAAGTCACCAATAAAAATCCTTTTAAAAATGTTTCATTTTTCCCCTTTCTTCTAGATTTGATGTGTGCTCACTGTTTCTTTCAGTGCTTGGCAGGCCGCTGTGAAGGTCCATCACCTTTTCCCTTTCTCCAGGATGGCTCAAGATTCAGTAGGCTTTTTTTCTGCTTATCAGTTTTGGATGCAGAAGCTTTCTGTGTGGGACCAGGCCTCTACTCTAGAAACCCGGCAAGATGCCTGCCTTCACCTGCCTCGATTTCAGGAGTTCCTGAGGCAGATGTATGAAGTCTTGAAAGAGATGGTAAGTGGTAGACCAAAATAACAAAGCTCTACTACATTCAGCTAAGCCTGAATGTTATCTAGGGTCAGGGACTTGTGGTATTGACCTAATATATTGTTGGGTTGGAAAGACCAATTATCCATAGGTAATACAGATAGGGGGCTGTTTCCTGACCTCTGATTTCTTATGATTTCAATCTTCTCGATTAGTTACATTGTCATATGGGACTTCCTGACCAGTAAAGTTGTTTTTTAAAAAAACAAGATTTTGTGGGGTGCCTGGGTGGCTCAGTGGGTTAAAGCCTCTGCCTTCAGCTCAGGTCATGATCCCAGAGTCCTGGGATCGAGCCCTACATCGGGCTCTCTGCTCATCAGGGAGCCTGCTTCCTCCTCTCTCTCTGCCTGCTTCTCTGCCTACTTATGATCTCCGTCTGTCAAATAAATAAATAGAATCTTAAAAAACAAACAAAAAAAACACAAGATTTTCACACTTGTTGTCAGGTAATAATTGGGATTCTTTTAAAGGCCTTTGCATTTTTTAAATATTGAAGAGTTTTCCTAAGTGCTTACCACCCCCCCCCCTTTTTTTTAAGAGAGGGAGAAAAGATGGGGAGAGGAAGAGAGAAAATCTTAAGCAGGCTCCATGCCCAGGGTGAAGCACAACGCTGGGCTTGACCTCACAACCCTGAAATCATGACCTGAGCCAAAATCAGTAGAACACTTAACTGACTGAGCCACCCAGGCACCCCAGTGCTTACCCTTTCTTTAATGCTGTCCTAAGGTTGGTTCTGCCATGAGATGGTAAATAATAAGATCTCTTCTTTTGAATATTTCAAGTGGTCTTTTCTGGTGAATATTAAGATTTTGCGTGTCTTCACTGCTGTTGTATAATGTGTTCAAATTTGATTTTTTTTTTTGTTTTGACATTTCTCATTTTTCTACAATGGATATTTTTATGAGTTAACATGCTTTTATATTATGAAAATATTATTGGTTTTATAGTTTCTAAATTCAAAATGAAAAGTGAAATTTTCATTTAACATAGATGTTCTTTTGTTATAAAAAATAGAACAAAGGAAAACTTCCCTTAAAAAAGCAAGTCAGAAATTTGAAGAATTATTCATGTTGACGATATGAGTTCATGTGTTTTTAGCAACTGGAAGGAAAGATAGAATCTGTATGAGCAACTGACACTACCTTTTAAAATTGTTTTTCTGTAATTGGATTTCTGCAGCTTGGCTTTAAATTGGTCCCAGAAAGTCTAGGATTGGCCTTGATGCTAAGACAAATGTGAAGAATTTATTGGTGCAGCAGCTTACATTTCAGCTTATATACATGTTACCTCATTTAGGTCTTATTTTTGAACTTTTTTGAAAGGTAAAGAAGTGGGAAGAGGGCCAGTTGTACATGCTACAATAGCATGTAGATTGTTTAATCTTAAGCTGTTTTCTATTTGGTTGATCTGGTCTCAGATTGTTGTAGAGTAAGTATGATGTCATTTCGTATTTAGTAACCAAAATAGTCATAAACAGAGATGTATATCTTTATGCTTTAGCTGCTTTTGTTTCTTTTTACAAGTTCTAGAGTTCTTGTTCTCCCAAGCCTTCTTTGAAATAGCCCTACTAAAGTTGAGTTAGGAACCTTTCTTATGGTGGAGTAAAAAAAAACCCACAATATTTTGTTCACTGCTATACATTCCTTTATATTTTTAAACAAATTGGCCTTTCCTAAGTATAAATAAAATAAAGGTAGTTTTATAACAAGCTTGATTTTATGTAAATGTGCTGTATATCTTCAAGTTTTTGTGGTATGGTTTAAGGATGAAGTAAGGTGGTTACTTGTTAAATTTTATTTGAAATTCCCACTTTTCTGAAATATACTAAATATTCAGACTCCTTGAACCTATAGTATCAGTTTAACTCTCTAAGTTGTGTGGTGTCCTTTTATTGACCAAAACATATTTTTCTTCTATAGGATTCAAATACGATCATTGAAAGGTTCCCCACAATTGGTCAACTCTTGGCAAAAACTTGCTGGAATCCTTTTATCTTAGCATTTGGTAAGACTCCAAAGCCTGTCTTCTCAAAATACAAACTTCTAATAATAATTTTAATCTGTGCATTTAATCTATGCAAAATACAGAGCTTCAAATGATAAATTTTGTCCCATTGTTTACAAAATAGCTATTAAGATTTATTCATTGTTCCATTAGAAAGATGGCATCCTGGTCATCTGGGTGACTCAGTCAATTAAGCATCTGCTTTTGGCTCAGGTCATTATCTCAGGGTCCTGGGATGGGGTTCCACATTGGGCTCTCTGCTCAGCGGCAAGTCTGAGAGTCTGCTTCTCCCTCTCCCTCTCCCTCTGTGCTCTCTTGCTTTCACTATCTCTCAAATAAATAAATGAAATCTTTAAAAAAAAAAAAAAGATGACATTCTTTTCTTGTCCATATATGTTCACATAGATTATCTCACACACATGTACATTACTATATACACACACCTATACACATGCATATCAGTAAGAAAATAGAACTTGTGTTATAGAGTAGACTCTTCCAGATGATTATCAAACCTCATTTTTAATTCATTGTGAAATGATTATAATAATGAAATAATTTCTTGTTTCACAATTTCATGTTAACTCACATTCTACCTTTTTCCATGCATAAAATCATTCTTCAGTGTCCTAATCCTCCCATGGCCCTGATGTTCTTTATGGATGACACTGTAGTTTTACCCAAGGTGAAGAGGAATTTGGGGACACTTTGGGGTAGATGTTCCTTTCTTGACCTCCTGCATACCTGTCTAGTCTCATTTCCTGTGTAATCCTCCACAACCACACCACACACATGGTAGTCAGGTTGAGTTGAGTTACTAACAGTGACTTGAAGGCACGTGATGTTAGGGCTTGTGACATGTGACTCCTTTGCCTGGAGCTCTGTTTTCATCTCCTGTCCTTTTAAACTTTCTTTGAAATAGTTTTGCTGGAGCTGAGTTAGGAACTTCTCTTAGTGTCCCCATAGCTGATCGCATCTCCCTGAATTCTAACACTTACTGCACCGTTTTGTAATTATCAGTTTGCCTGTCTGATGTCCTGGAGGACTGAATACTTCTTGAGAGCAGGGACTGTGGTTTTACTTGTTTTTGTCATTCCAGGGCCTAGCATAGGGGAGAGCAAGCACATCTGAAGGTGTACAGTTGAGGTTTATTGCCTTGACTTGACCGTATTTTTAGCTAGTATAATATTTGCTTGACGGTAGTTTTGCAGGATAGGTAATTATGGATTAGAGCAAAGAAATCACTTTCCCCATAATGTAAAACTAATAAAAGCTAGGATCCCACCCCTCTAAAGCCTGCATTGTTATAATAATTTGTCCTGAGGATCACACCGTTGTGGTTGAAGTGGCCCAGTTCTTGCTTTAACACCAACCAGCCTCACATGAATATATATATTCACTGGACAGATACTTACTAAGCTTTTTTTTTTTTTTTTTTTTTTTTTTTTAAATGTGCGAAGCCTAGGAAAACATGACTATGATTTCTCTCACTGGAAGCATCCAGTCACAGAGAAAAAAGAGACCCCAGCAGATCAGCCTGACTCAGAAATGGTTTGTGTTTGTGGAGCTCTGAACAGGGAGCTGAGAGTTAAAGGAGAGTTTTTCATGGGAGGTCAAACTGGGGCTGACTCTTAGGGAACAGTAGATGAGATGGGACTTTCTGAGACAAGCCACCAGACTCGCTGGGTTTCAGATTCCTTATTTGTAAAAGCAGGAGACTGGACTGATTTCTCCTTATAGCCTTAAACTTGTATCTGTCTGTGATCTTTCCTTAGCACCTGTCCCCATTACATTGGCCCCCTCTGACAGCCAGAAACAAGTCCTTCATCTCTTTTTGTTTCAGTGCCTCTGTTATGTTTTGAATTGCCTGTTAAATTTCAGCTTCCTGTTTGGTGTGCCTTGGGTTCTGAGCTTAGTGAAGACTGACAGGCAACAGAACTCCGGGATGAATTAAGAATCTTGCCTGTGTTACTACTGTTGTTTTGCTAGTTGGGTACTTTTGGCCAGGAAAGGGTCTTTTCTTATGGTTTTATAATATCAAAGTAACCTTAAATACAGGAAAGGTGACAGCTTCCATCAAAGAAAGAAGTTAAGTCTCTGATAATGCTAGGTGAGAATTGGATCAGAAATAAGGATAATAAAGAAGGAGGAAAGATTTGGAAATGAAAAGACACCATGAAGAGGAGGAAAAAAAAACAGATAATGGAAAGGGAGGGACTACCTTTTATTCGGGGATGTTCTTTACCTATGCTTACTGCTTTCACCTTGGAATTATGGCTGCCCTCAGGATTAAGCGTAACAGCTATAACCTCATTATTTGGTATTTATTGCTATATAAAAATTTGCCCCTAAACTTGGCAGCTTAAAATAACAAATATTTATTGTCTTAAAAAAGTGCTACCTTCATACTTTTAAATTGTAGATTAAAGAATTTTAAAAGAATTTTGAAGAATTAATTTAGTTTTCATTTGGAATACTAGCTCAGGATACAAAAAAAAATACTAGGTGGCAAATATATGCTGGCATATTTTTTCCCCTTCCACTCATTTTTAGAATCCAAATTTTCTTAAAAACCTGGTGGCAGTGACTCTTTACATGATGAATCCCAGGTGTTTTCCCATCTCACTCAACTGGCCTGCAGGATGTCCACTCTGAATCTAGGAGCCTCAGAGAGGAACCTGACAGATGCCTTCTCCCCTGCAGTGAGTGTTGGTGGCACTCATGAATAACAAGTGATGGCTTGCGGCTATAAATCCCTAAAACAAAATAAGCCCATTAGCAGTACATTTCAGTGCATTTCAGTCCATTTCAGTACATTGACCCTGGGCAAGGGAAGGCACCTCCTAAAGGCTGGGAGAGCATTTCTCTGGTTGCACTTTGTTTTTGTTTTTGTTTTGTTTTGAGGGACAATTTTGAAAAATTATATACTTGTTGAACTAAATGTGCAGATTCACTCAACACCTGGGGAAAATTTCCATCTTTTAGATAACTTAAGTTCCATAAAATACTATTTTCTTTCTTTTTCTCCTCCTCCCCTCCTCCTCCTGTCCCATCGGGTTGCTTTTTTTTCCTAACAGGGGAAGCCACTTGTGTAGTAAGCATATCATTGGATGTGTCCGACACTCTGTGACATGAAGATAGACTTTCTTCTAATATTTAAAGCACAGGAAGTGCAGTGGTCAAATTTCAAATCAGTGGCATTGGTTGAGCCTGAAGAATCCTAGGATCTTCAGAGGATAAATGACGTGATTCATGAAATAAACCTGTAATAGGCAAGCCGGTGAGACATTTGAGCTCATTAAAAACTAGGAAAGAAATGGGGCGCCTGGGTGGCTCTGTGGGTTAAGCCTCTGCTTTCGGCTCAGGTCATGATCCCAGGGTCCTGGGATCGAGTCCCGCGTCAGCCTCTCTGCTCACAGGGAGCCTGCTTTCCCCCTTCTCTCTCTGCCTGCCTCTCTGACTACTTGTGATCTCTGTCTGTCAAATAAATAAATAAAATCTTTAAAAAAAAAAAAAACTAGGAAAAAAATGAATGTCCCTCAAAATAATCCCTGATAAAGTTTGTCCAGAGATGTTATTAGGGGAGCAGAAACTTACGACATTTATTGGGGAGAAAAGTAGGCTTAATAAACATTTACTATTAGTGTTCGTTAGTGTATGGTTGAAAATGCAGGGGTAGCGTTTATATTTTATAAAAGGTTGTATTTTCCTTATTTCTTGTTGATATTTTCCTTATTTCTTGTCCCCATAGTTCTTAGAAATGCTGTGTTTCTTAGACCATAGAAGATGAGAGGGTAAGGGGTATCAGGTGATTCTGCAGGTAATTGGTTCCTGGTGCTGGCCTTCCTCAGCTGCTACTCCATGGCCTTTAGATGAAGGCCATGGTTGGTTGGCTCTCCTGTAGGTACTGATGTCTTCAGTTTTATGCATCATTCTTGCTTCTCAGTTGTGTTGTAAAATCTCCAACTGGAATGGACTCTGTTACCAAACGAGGAAAAATAAAATGGCTCACTGAGTAGATATTCTTGCCAAGTATAAGATTTCAAAGTTCAGCATTTTCATCACATATTTGGTAAAGTTTTAAATTTTAAAGAATGAGGAACATGTAAGAGGCTTCTATTTTGTCCAAACCATTTAGAAAAACAGAATATGTTTTAAAACGATCCTTTTGTTAAATTTGTTTTTAACAAGTGAGGGTGTTTTGGGAAACTAGAAGATTAAAAGATTAAGACAGAAATCCTTACTACTGCCTATAACAGTTATATTGCCTTTAAAAGGTTGAAATTACTATCAGTCTGAAATATGCTTTAAGAGAACTGATCTTGGGAAAAGTGCAGTCCTTTTAGTTGTTTCTTTCATTCTCTTTTGGCTTTAAAAATTATTGCTGTATGAGAAAGGGAATTGACCACACAAGGGCTAAGCATAAGTGATCCCAAAACCACAAGAATAAAAAACCCCATGAAGTTTCTCAGATGGTCCTAGATGTTTGTTCCTTGAATTTAGTAGTTTGAGATTTTCCTAAAATATAATACATATATTTCCTTTAAATACAGTGTTTAAAGAATTTTTATACTGATTATCTTTTCTTCCTATTTGATAAAACCTACTTATTTTAGTTTTCCTTTTTGCAGATGAAAGCCAGAAAATTCTAATATGGTGCTTATGTTGTCTAATTAATAAAGAACCACAGAATTCTGAAGAATCGAAACTTAACTCCTGGACACGGGTAAGAGTAAATCTTCCCTGTATGGCTTTGCATTGAATTGATTAAAAAGGTGCTTCTTTGACAGTCCAGTTCTGTGATGTTTTAGAACTTTCTCAAATACAGTCTTCGCTGTTCCATTATCTTGCTGGGTGTAGTTATTCAAGAGATTTCATTTTTGCTTGATTGTGAGTTCCAGAAGATAGCAGTCTTTAGGGTGAACTTTTTCATACCTGGAAGACCTAATATTGTGTGATTTTGAAAAGTTGCTTTCAGGTAATGTAAAGAATGTTCACTCTTTCCTTCTAGCATTTGCTATCCTTCAAAAAAATTGCTCCTCCTTATCAACCTAGTTTAAATACTTTCGTAATTTCTGTCGAAGTATTTCTCTCTCTCTCAGGATCTAATCTGTAGTAAAATGAAAATTCAGAAGTGCCCTGGGAGCTGCCGTCTTTATTTTATACCTGAAGTTGGTATCCAGGCCAGGGTGTTCAGACTAGCACCACAGAATAAATCGTTGGTGGCCGCTGCTCACAACGTCACATCGCTTCCTTGGCTGTGCTGGACCGCATAGCTGACAGCGTCCTGCATTCCCCGTCTCTTTCTGCTTTCTCTTGAAGGGCAGGCACAATTTGGCGAATTCTGTAAGGCTGGGCTGTGGCTGCCCTCACCACCAGCATCTCGCCTGTTCTTTTCTCATACCCCCCACTGTCCTGCTGTAATAACCCCACGGACTAGCTGATGCCTGTCAGACTCCACTTAGTATGCATATGGTTCAGATTAGCTGCTTAGTATTATGAAATCACCCACCCAGATTAATGCATACAGTTTTGTCTATCCGTCTGACTGGTGATATCATTCCATTCACTGCTTTTTAACCGTTCCTTTGTTTTATACAAAATTGCTGACAGAGCTGACAAAGACAGTGTTTATATTTTTCTGTTAGATTTAAAAGCAGAATTGAAGGGACAGTAGAAATGAAAAAGGGTTGGGCTGGGGAAGGAAAGATGCAAACTTTAACTGGAAGGTAAATTACACTAAAGAGCTGAAGAAAGGAACTGGTAAGTAGAATTAGCGAAGAAAATGTCTGAAAAACAAAGCTATAGAAATAGAATAACATATATAGTCTTCAGTTTTTTTAATTGTTACTTTTGATGTTTTAATGATTACTTTGGATATATTTTTGTATTGGCTAGTTCATTAAGTCCTGAAATAGGCCACCCAATAAAGTGTTTTTGGATCATTGGGTCAACTTTCTTCATTTAAACGCATGACTTTATTGGCCTATTTTAAAATTTCTAGCCTTGCATTTTATCCTGTGGATTTCTCTTATTTAATACTGCATCCATTTATCAATAGGTACGTATAAAATATAGCACAGGAAAGTTAACTTAAAATCTTAACTCGTGCCATCAGGGAATTTATAGACTGGTGACCAGAGCTATGTACAGGTGTGATAGAAATACAGAGGACACTCGCTCAGACTTGGGGCTCTGTAGATGTGTCCTACAGTAGGTGATATCACCAGCTGAGTTTGGAAGGGTGACTAGGAGGGCAGGGATAGAGCTTTAGGAAGGATATTCCTGTCAGCAGAAAGAGCACACCTAAAGATGGTGTTAAGAAAGCCACTGCCTTTCCCTGGGTGGCTCAGTGGGTTAAGCCTCTGCCTTCGGTTCAGGTCATGATCTCAGGGTCCTGGGATCGAGTCCCGTGGGCTCTCTGCTCGGCGGGGAGCCTGCTTCCTCCTCTCCCTCTGCCTGCCTCTCTGCCTACTTGTGATCTCTCTCTCTGTGTCAAATAAATATCTTAAAAAAAAAAAAAAAAAAGCCAATGCCCCTTTCAGGGAATGCAGGTATTCAGATAATGGTTGAGCTTGGAGTTTTGTAGGGCTGGTGATGAAGCATGAAGCCTAATGTATGATTATAAGAAATTTTGGGGACGACTGGGTGGCTCAGTCAATTAAGCATCTGCGGTCAGCTCAGCTCATGATCCCAGGGTGCTGGGATCGAGTCCGGCACTGGGATCCTTGCTCAGCAGGGAGCCTACTTCTGCCTCTGCCTGCTGCTCTCCCTGCTTGTGCTCTTTCTCTCTTTGACAAATAAATAAATAAAATCTTAAACAGTTTTTACTTTATTTTGAAAACAGTATTTTAAACAGAGAAATTGTTTGGCCTGGACTGAATTTAGAAACTTAACAGCAAAAGGTAATTGATTTGGAAGGGAGTGGGATAGCACTTTGGAAGCTACTATAGTGATGAAGGTGAGAAATCATGCAGCCCTGAGTGAAATGGAGAAGAGGAGCCAAATTTATGATATGAATAAGGTAAATATTCAAAAGATGTAATGGCAGGTTAAGTGCAGATGTACTTAAGTGTAGGTGGAGTTGAACGTACTGTTCTTGGAAGAGTGAGCTGATTTACACATAAGAGGGCTGACAGTCCTCAGGGCTTGGGAATACTGGAGCCTTGGGTGAGGGTCAGATTGCCCAGGGAGGGCATCTGGCATGAGGATGGGAAAGAGCCTCGGGGCAACCTTGGGAGACACTGGCATTTAGGGAGTGAGTGCAGGAATAAGCTACCCTGCGGGTCAGAAACAGAGTCAGAGGTGTAGAAGGAGAAAACCAGCAGCATTTCAAAAAGGAATGAGTGGCCGTTCATATCTAATGCTCTAGTGCAGGACTGTCCAACACAAAATACATACTACATAGATAATTTGAATTTTCTAGTAGCTGCTTTAAGAGACAAAAAGAAATAAGTGAAATTAATTTTAATAATATTTTATGCAACCCAGTATATCAAAAATACTATCATTTAAACATATAATCAATATAAAAGTTATTGAGATTAATTTATGCTCTCTTTTCATACTAAATCATTGAAATCTGTTGTGTGTGTCACATTTAAACTTTGTATCTACATGTTACGTCTTAGTGTAAGAGAAATTTCCCCCACTTCAAGGTCATGAAAACCTTCCATATTAGCTTCTAAAAGAATACTGATTTGCTTTTCCCATTTAGGTCGGTGTGACTGTTTTTTGTGTGGTCTAAGTAGGCATCCACTTTCACTTCACTTCTGCATGGATACCCATTGTCCCAACACCATTACTGAAAAGTTCTTTGCTCACTCATGTTTGGTGCTACCTTCGTCGTAAGTCAAGTGTCTCTATATGTGCAGATATAATCCTAAATCTCTGTGTTGGTTTCATCTATCTCTGATGGTTGATTTTGTGTCAACTGGACTGGACTATGTGGTGCCCAGATATTTGGTCATACATTAGTCTCAGTTTCTGCGAGGTAATTTTGAATGTGATCAACTTTTAAACAGATTGGGTAGAGTAGATCATCCTCTTTAACGTGTGGGTATTTCATCCAATTAGCCAAAAAGGCTTAACCCTTCCACGAGAGTTTTCTCTGTACTGAAATCTCATAAACAGTGGGTTTTGATTGAACCCCAAGTTGTATGTTTTGTTATTTTTGGTGTAATACATCATTGTCAAGGTATTCAACAGGGAGTGTCCTGAATTTTTAGGAAACCAGTGGTTTCAGAAATGATGGTATTATGTATACCAAGTCGTGAGGCAAGGGAGTCAGAAGAGACAATAGGTTTGGTGCTTGAACAACTGCACTAAAGACTGGTCAGCCAGGGACAGACACTGATGCTTTGGAAACAGGATTATTCTACACTGTTGGTAGTTTCCATTTTTACTTGTTTTTGGGTTGTTTAAGATTTGAAAATACTAGCCTGGCTCAGCTCAGATGTTGAAACATAGGGGAAGAATTATTGTCCAAGTTTGAATGGTAATTTAAAAGGGAAAATAGCATATTTCTTAAGGGCAATTAGTGAAACACAGCAGAGGCAAGGTGAAATTCAGGGAAAAGGCCGGGGATGCAGGAGATTTCTCTTTCACAGCTCTACCCTGACAAAACATTGGCAGTCCTGTATGATTGTTTCGATTTTACTTTTGAAATAACAAACACAATACTAGTTTCTTTTCCTACCTGTATTCTATTTGCTTGACTTTCTAAAACCTGCAGTTTCTTTGTTTCTTTGAATTTTTATATTTACATGTTTGGCAGATGGTTATTAATTGCTTTCCCAGTATCCATCTCCCTCCTTTCCTACCTTCTTACAGTAGCATGCATTTCTCAGCTGTGCATTGTGCATCTTGGGTGAGACTTACCACACCACGGTCCTGGGGTTAGTCCTGCTTGGCTTAACTAGGATCACCTCTCCCTGTCCCTGGCCACAGAGATTGGCCAAGATGGACATATAGCCCACACTGGAAATTCAGTCCTACAACTTTTGTGTGATTGATTGGGGAGGTGGGTTTTATCTTTCCTGCTGAACATTAATTAGGTAGCACATAGTCCCTGAAGTTGCTGTTAGTCACTGTGGGTCTGGGAGGACAGCCTGCCTGGGAGTGAAGTTAGTCTTGAGGAAACAGAGCTGAGAGAAAGAGAAAGAGGGTCACATTCAGGTTGTTTTGTTTGGGCCCTAGACCAAGCCTCTTCTGGACTTCAGTGTTCTAGTACTTCCTTTTCCTGTTTAAGCCAGTTTGGTTTAGAGTTGTTTTTACTAGCAGCCAACAGCATCCTACTTGAGAAAACAGACTTATTTGGGGGCTTAAATATTTTTTGAAGGGTTTCAAAACTCAGGTGTACACATACGCAATGGCAAAAGAAAAAAAATCTTATTTACTCAAAGGATAGTATGAATCAACAATGAATTTGGCAAAATAATTATAGTTACTTAAAAGTTGCATAGTTGATTCAGAGTTGTTTTTCCACCACCACTTATGATGAAGATGTGTATTAAAGAAGGCCTCCGTGGAGAGGGACAGCAGCAGCGTGGTGGCATGATATTCTTGTTTTTGTCCCTGCTAAACATTTAAAACTTAACATTCATCCACAAAGAGAAATGCCTATGTGGGAGCTGTGGGATCCAGCAGCATACACCGAGGGACCCGGGAGGCATCTTGCCCACCTTTGCAACAGGTAATAGAGCAGGTAGACCCCAGTTCAGGCTG